TGGAAAGACCGCTGGCGGGGCGCCCGAGGCCGCGCTCGGCCCCCAGATCCAAGATCATCCCCCTCCGCGGCCCAGTGTCCATCGACGACGCCCGGCATTTGAGCGTCTGCGTCGCGGCGCGGCCCGCCTGGGTCGAATGCCTCGGAAGAGCCATTTGGAGCCGGCATCTCGGGCGACCGCCGTTCGGCAACGCAGATGCCCTCCCACCCCTCGCGGCGGCGCGCTCACGCATCACCTCAACTCATCGCACCGCATCCCTGCGAAGCTCAGGGCACCTTTTCGCGATTGGGCTTTCCGCCCAAGTGCTCTCCCATCCTCACCTGTGTTTGTGCGGACACGGGTTTCCGCGCTAAGGCGTCCGGAGGTGAGCACGCGCCGAGGATGATGAGGGTCAACCGGCGCGGAGGCAGCCGAGACGTTGGGATTATTTCCCCCTGTGCGCAGCTGGGCTTCGGTCGCACGCCAGCGATCGAAGGAACACGCTCTCCGGTTGGCTGCCTTGGTGTGCGGGCTGCGTGGGCACCTCTGCCGGTGCACACCGCACTCGGCGGTTGCGGACTTTGTCCGGCACCGAATGCGCGGATGGTCATTCAGTCCGAAATGGCGCATGGAGCATCTGCTTCTTCATCATCATCAAGAGTTTAACATATCGAGGCGAGGAGGCTGCCATCCATCAACTCCCCATTTCGCCCGAGCAAAGCAGTGTCCACATGGCATGGCATGGAGTATGTACTTCGCGTTTGGGGTGCATGGGGTAATGTGCGGGCGACCAAGATCAGGCACTACGTTGGCCTTTCTCATCATCAGCCGTTTTACATAACAAGGCAATAGGCCCCGCCAAAACCAATCCGCAGCGACGCGCACCGCTGTGTGCTGATGGACGGTTGCCGGGTCTTTATTGCCTGTGCATTCAATTGCTTAAACGTGTAGAGCCCTTCTGGCACAGGGCGGCACAATCATTGCGGCATTTGCATAGCAACATGTCGACATCGTGTGAAGCCTTCACAGCGATGGGCATGTGAGACGATCTGAGGGTCGCCGGGCTGTACTCAAAGACAGTAACGTAGAGTGTTTCACAACGATCCGTATTGTACTGCACTACGTGTTGAACGTGCAGTGCGCCGCAATACATGCAGCATATAATGACATAATTCAACGCATTTGTGATGCTCGCTTGTTTCTCGAAAATTCCAAGGTCGTGCTGGAGAGTTCTTACCCGAGAGGCAGGGAAAAGAACATGAGCTGCTGCAAATCAGCTGACCAATGGGCACTGATGTTAAACCCATATCAAAATACTGCTGCGTCACCTACTCTCTACTGCAAATCGACTCCTATTCAGACTCTGCACTCCCGGCTGCAAATTACAACTTGTGTGCCTCAGTGCGGCAACCCGATTTGACAGGTATCAGATCAACTGCGGCTGGAAAAGGGACTATGTTGTTGCAATACATTGGCTCCATTGTCACTCAATGCCGCTCTCAGAAGATGCCCATAAGTCTATATTGACAAGCTTTGATGCGTGTGCCAGCGCTGATACACGGGCTTTGCTACAGCAGTATTTGGTTCGCATCATGATGCGAATAAGTGATCACTTATACTCTACACCATGGCATCCAGTTCTATCTTTTTCAGGAGGATGGCGGCTTGACAGGGTGACGTGCCTACTCATACAATGGAGCTTCTGCAGATTGAGTTCTGGTATCATCTTTGACATTAACTGCTTAGGCGTCTTTGTGCTGAGCCAGATTAGTAGGCATGCAGGGAAGAACATGCTATGGTGAGGGGTGGTCTTTCAAACATCAACTTAAAACAAGGGAAATGCTAAATTGCTAAGAGTAAACAAGGGGCATCTTCGTGGTCAAATGATCGTATTCTTGGGGCTGCGAGGACGCCAACGTACTGACCAGGAGGGTGCAAATTTTTGCAGTTTCTTCTGAGGCTTTTGTCCAGGATCTTTATGCCTGTCTGCGCCTTGGTGTCCAAGGTCCGTAGGCTGTTTGTGCCCAAGTTTCTGTAGCCAAATCGTAAGGAACATGCAAAGTGGCAGGATATTTCCGATTCCATACCCCTGGTCGTGCTTGTCAACCGATCACAGGCGGGAGACAGGCGAGCATGTATTTGTCCACCGTGAAGCTGTCCTGGGGCCCAACCGTTTTATCGTTCCAGCCAGTTAAATGCTAATTAGTGATGAAACGCCCAATGTTGGGCACAACATGTGTTAAGATTTAGTCACTTCAGTGGCCAAATCTGTTTGGCGCAATCCTGGTTGTTTGGTGCAACCTTTATTGTTCCCACTAGGATTGGTCGAACAGTGCGCCTCCCGCTCCGGAGCATGCTGGGATAGTTTGCTTCGTGTTTGTGCGATGATTTGTAGTGATTGTCATTTGTCCGGCACGAAAACCGCAACTGGCCCCAATTGGGACACAAATCAGGCCCATTTGTGCGCTAAGCGGAGCTGCCCCGCAGGGGAGCCCGTCGGCCCGTTGTCCGCGGTGCCCGTGCGTTGGGCGGCGTTCGGCATGGCCCTCCGCCGCCTAGCCTCCGGCCTCGCTGGGCCACTGGCCCGACTCCCTGGCGCCCCGTCCGCCCTGCCTTGCCTCTCCATCTTGGCCGCCAGCGCGCATGACATTTCCGTGTCCCGCATGGGCACATGGGTCGATCCGTGGAGCACGCGGGCCCCGGATGAGGAGCATCCGGACGAGCAGACGGTCTTCGAGCACAACCAGCCGAAGGTCTGGTATGGCAAGCAGGGAGACGCGAAGAAGGGCTTGGCGGACGACACCAGGGAGCATCCTTTCAGGGGATTGATGGCAGGAGTGTGCGGGATCGACGATGAGATCGGGACGGTGTGGTGGGCGTACGACCTGACCGGAGGGCAGATTGAGAACAACCTGCAGAACGCCATGCTGTCGGATGAGACCAAGACGGAGATGTACCTGCGACACGTGGAAGATCCGGATACGTGTGTGGGGGTGGGCGATGCGTGGTTGGGTCGCGGGATCTGTGAAGTTTGGCGTTGTTGGCAAGGAAAAGAACGTAGAAAAGGAACAGTAGCAAAAAGTAAAGCGTGGTTGTCTTGTTTGCCGTGGTTGTAGCGACTGTTTTATTTTTCAGTGGACGTGACAGACGGTTGGCCTGATAGCATGCTGCAGCAACTTGGGCGTTCATTCGTCGGACGTTTGAATCTAAGTATTTGTGGATATGGCCAGTGTCAACTGGGGTAATGGTGGGAAATCGGATGCATGGTGGGGTGTGGTAGTGAAGGAATTGGACGCAGTGGCTTTTTGGCCATTCCAAGTTTGGAATTGCTCAATGGAATCGATCGCCTGATGCCCTGCATACCCCTGGCAATGGCAATGGCAATGGCTGCAAAACATAAGAAAAGCAGGATGAGAGGGAGTGCATTGTGCAAACCACGGCGTTCAAGTATGCCTCATCTTCTTGCTGTGGAACATGTTGGTGATTGATACCTTGGTGAACTATGGCATATTGGGAATCCTGCTGTGCATGGCCCCAAACATGTTTTTGGGAATCTTGTGCCCATCGAAGGTTAAAGAACTGAGGAACTTTGGCCTTTGGCTTGAACTAGTGAATCGGAGTGTGCCAGGGGCACTTACTTGTGGTGTGGTGTCACCAACAGCTGGTCTGTTGAGAAGCTTGCGGAGGAGTACCGGATTCGGCAACAAAGAGTTATGGCGATCATCGCGCTGAAGGTGGGATAAGAATTACAGGAGGCAGCCTTGAATCTCAGATCTCTATCTGTCAAAGAGTGAACTTGCTTCTTTGCAGCCACGGCACTGCCATCATGCAGAGAAACATATGCAATCAACTGACTCTTCCAACAGCATTGGTACCTACAAGAGGGATTGGAACATCCCCACGTTATTTCCCATCTTCTTTGGTGAGTCTGGGAATCGCCAGCCAAAGAGCTTGCTTATACCGCCAGCCAATGTTCCAGTGCAGCAGGGCATTGTCACTATTATCTGTTCCAAGTAAATACTCGCTGTTAACCTTGGCCAAGTTCATTACAACACATTGCCCTACCACATTTTGGGTGAAGTAGGGTGACCATTTTCACAGGCATAGCATTAGGTGTCATTGCTGACAACACACAGGGGAGCTGTTGGCCAGTAGCTTTGCAAACAAAGCTGGGCATTAGCAGCTGGTGTTGCAATGCACAGCTTGTCCAGGAAGAGGCCTCCAGCTGCCGGAGCTGCTGCCCAATGTTTGTTTGGCTGCACTTGTGCATGGGAGTATTTGTGGGGATTTGTGAGTGCAGTGGTGCTAAGCGAGCTTGCACATGGCAGGAAATGGAACACGAAATGTACTACTCTGACAAAGAGGAAGAAGAGCAGCAGCAGCATGTGCCAGAAGGTAACATAGACTGATAATTTCATTGTGATTGCACATGCATCTGCAAATTGCAGCATGTCAATGGTGTACCTGGGAACCATTAGCCAATACAAGCTCGGATTTGTTGTTTGCAGCAAGCAGATCAACGCCAAGCCCTACGGAAACTGAGCAGCATCATGCAGGCGAAGGGACCAGTGAAGTTGCACAGGCCACTGAAGCATCTACCACAGAGCAAGTGGGGGAAACAGACAAAGCGAGGAAGAAGCGGTGGCTGGAGTTTTGCGAGTGGCTTGAACGGGACGTATACAATTGCACTGCCAAAAGGGGCTCTGGGGAGAGGCACGTCCTCAACATGCCCACCTACCCAAAGTTTGAAGTAAGTGCAGCAGATTCAGTTGATGGGAGAATTGATTGGTTGATTTGTTTGCACCACTGTGGGGGGCTTGTGGGGGAAAGAATGTTGCATGTTATGCTGTTCGCTGGTAATGGTGCTGTCTCCTAACTGGAACTGTTCTGTTTTGATAGCAACACGAATTTACCAAACAAATTGGGAGATGAGCAAGGAATGCATGTGGCGCTGCTACAAGTGCAGGATACCACTGTGTGAAACCTCCTTGTGAAAATGACGTGGCATTTGACAGCAGTATAATCAATACACATTGCACATAATTAGATAGCACAATGGTACAGCTGCTCTAACCCAGTCAGTGCTGATAATCGCACTTCTGCTGCTGTCCATCTGCCAGTACAGATATCAGCTAAAGCGTTGGTTCCCAACTTTGGTTTCGTCATTCCCATGCAGGCAGTGAAACTGGAGGATGCGCATAAGTATGATGAGTGGGAGATCTCTCATGTCAACCATGAGATGGTTGACCGACAAGACAAAGCTATGATTAAGGAGTTCAAGGAAAGGCTGCTTATGAATATGGGAAAGGTAAGTTCACGAATGAAAGATTTGTTCATAATGCTGTCTTTGTAGTCCACAGTTTGCTTCTTGGATTGCACAACGTTCAGGAGTCCATTTGCCTCGCCTGCCCTCCCACTTGTGGGTACTTTGCTGCTGTTCTGAAATGCATTGTGTGCAAGGTGCAAAACCTTTAATTTGTTTCTGACCCAAAACAGTATGCCTCTGTAAAGATTTCTGTGACAAGAAACAGGTTCCAAAGCACCACCATAAATGCAATTTGAAGTTTCCCTTGTGGGCTGCGAAAGTGTGCTTTGAACAATGTACAGCCTTTCCACTGCATGTTCATAACTATGTTAGAGAACTGTGCAGTTGGTAATGTAGCAGACGCCCGTGCATTACCAGCAATTCATCATTTTCTATGGCAGATTGGGACCTCTCTCAAGAAGGAAAGCCGGAAGCCGCTCTTCACGTCGCCCCCAAAGAAGCCAATGCCAATCCTGGTAACCCCAATTGGACGCAAGTATGAAGATCCCTATGTGGCCGCCCCTGATGGCGTCAAAAGAAAACTCACCAAAGATGAACTTCTGTTCTGGAGGAGAAAAAACCGTGAGGCAGTTCAGAAAAGGTGGAAGGCCAGACGAGCTAATTCTAAGGAGCAGTCCAACGACCATGAAGAATCAAATACATAGTGGCGAGTTTGACAGTAGACGAGTGAACTTCTGGACATCAATGTGCAGGCAGTCCCTTGGATAACCCCTGTTCCAGTGAGTGCCTTTTATGGCCTGAGACCAACAGCTTAAATTGAATTGCAAACGAGAGGTGCACACATTTTTGTTTTGAATGTGTGCATGCTTTTCACAGCCTTGTTTGATACAACATGTGAGAAACGGCACTGACTACAGGACGCATGCGACCAGCAGCTTCCACAAGGCAAAATCACAGCACTGCAGTGGCGTACAATCCTGCATCACATATGTTTGCAGCATGGGGACATGGCGTATCCCAAGCCATGTGTGCTCAACATGGCAACACATTGCGTCTTGCTCAGTTCCCACCAGCATGAATACATGCATGCATAGGGTTCCAGAAATCGAAACTCTTAGGTTGCGGATGAGTCCAGTGCAGTTCTCATTGCAGGATCCTTGTGCTGGGCCTGATCTGGTGGCTCTCCGTGGTTGACGCCGTTGGCAGCCTCATAGGGCATGCAGCAAACTTCGCTGAGTGACAGTTGGTGGTGGCAAGAGTTGGCCAAGCGTTGGTGTGGGGAGAGAAGATAGGAACAAGGCAGGGGTAGCATTTTCAACCCGTCGTGCTGTATGGCTGTGGGCATGATGCCCAGTGTGTTGATTGTAGCAGGGATCAACCATTGTACAGTGTCCATGGCATGCAGAGGGGGTAATTAGAATTGTAGGCAGGTGATTCCAATGCAGACTGTTTGTCTTGTGAACGTTACGGACTGTTGTCCTAGGAGATAATCGCCAAACATCTCTGGATGCTCCCTCCACATGCCTCGAAATGCAATTACTGTAGCAACAATGCACATCACGTGCCCCCACTCAACGGCAGCCATTGTAAATTGCAGAAGCCCTTAGGCATGTGTCTGTGCTGCAACCACAAGAGAGCCCAGGGACTCCGTGCGTCTTGCTACACTATGAGGCATGTGCCCCTTTTGGTTACTTGAGGCACTTGAGTGAGTGAAGCTTATTGACATATGCAAGTTGCTTGCTGGTTTCTGTAGTGACATGACAGATCTTACCATGTGCAGCAGGACTACATAAAAGCAATGTGGGTCCCCTCAACAACATCAGAAGATATTAATTCAGCAAGCAGGGATGCTGGTTTGTGAGCTGAGTGGCCACCACTTGTTTCGAACAAGATGTGTCCCCTGAGTGCCACAAACACCATGTCCAATGCCAAATGGTGTGTGTTGCCTTTTTGCTGTGTTCTACAGCTTGGCATGCTCCACAATTTTTATTCATGCCATATATTCCAAGCAAGATACCGTAAGCGACTGCCACACCAACATTGTCAGTAGGTGGGCAGACGTATGTTCTCCACCACATGTCACTTTGTGTCCAGGTTTTGCACCCCCCCCACCCCACCCCCTCCACCCTCTCCACCCGCTCCACGCACTCCACCCACTCCAGCCTCCCCCCCCCCCATGAGATCTGAAACTGCATTCCGCAAAAAATTGAAATTGGATTGATCACATAGCTTCCCAAACTTCCATCACGAGTTCATGTCCACCACGTCCATGGACCTGCCCTGCACTTGTCAAGCCCCATGTGGCTCATTCCCGAATATCGTTTTGAAATCGAATGCTGCAGCTCAACTCCCTGCCATACAAGGAGCACTCAACGATCTTCGTCCGTCCCTGAGTCCATCATATCTCCAGCTGGGGCCGCGGCTGTGCCATCCGGCTTGGGGCTGCGGTCGAAGTCAATAGGAGTGATCTCAGGGCAGGGGAACAGAACTGTATCCACAATATGGATGATGCTTTCACAGATCTCGATGTCCGCTTCAACGACAGTGGCTGTTGTCACGGCACCCTCGATGGACACTGTGTCGTCTGTTATCTGGGCACCAAACCAACGATGGCAGTGTCAATCAGGGCGGATTGCATTGGTCGAAACACAACAATCGTTAAATGGTCGCATTGGGTGGTGCTATCAGGGCAGAACTCTCGTTGCTCTCCACGAGGTTATGACGGAGTGCAAATGCAAGTGTTCATGCGGGGATGTGGAAGGCAGGCTACACAGTTGGTGGCACACCAGGCAGTTGGTGGTTCACCAGGCTGTACAGCACTGCCACTGCAGCAGTGACAGAGCAGAACGCAGAATCACATGACTGGTTGATCGGCTGTTTTATTCCCGTTTCACAGAGCAGCGCCTGATGCCATCTGCTTGGCGCGTGGCGATGCAAGCCTGTCGTGCCAGAAATTAGGAGTCGTCAACAAGCCAGGGCCACACAGGGCACTGTGCCGTTGTCTGGCTTGAATTGCTCGTCCAGTTCTTTGCTGACTCACCCCAGTCCTCTTACTTAGGAGTACTGCATGGCGTACCTTGAAGCCCCACATACAACGCTGAAAGACCGGGGTTGCTTCAAACGGACAAGGCTGGAAACCTATTATCCAGTTGTCAGACGCTAAGTTGAGGCAGACGTCAGTGGCATATGTAGAGAAGGACCAACGTCCAGACCATACCTTGACAGTCAGGGTGTCGTTGCCGCAGCTGCTCCTGTCCTTAATGAACGTTTCAAGGACTGCGTCATTTTCCAGGTCTGCGGCCACCAGCCTTTCTGGCACAAGGTGATACTCAATGACCTCCCCAACAAAGGCCATGTTGGTCAACAGTGTAGTGAACTGCAACCCTGGCAGGACACCAACTGCAGCCAGGAAGGCGTCATTCTTTGGGGCAAACAATGTCTTCTTGTCGGTTTGGGTCAGCTTTATCTCGCCAAATTCAACTGCCTGCGCTGCAAACGACAGATCCATGTCTTCAAGCAAGCCCTTGAGGTCCACTTCGCAGGGAGCATCCTGTGATGAAACACCTGAGGCAGTACGATCACAGAGGAAGTCAACATCAGCACAATCAGAAGGTGCTTCACAGCAAATTTACATTGCCACAAACCCTGGGAGCCGGTAATGGATGGGATAGGTGACTGGATTGATTCTGGCCGCCAATATATGGATTGGGACTTCATTGGGAGGGGATGCTTCCCCTCAATCAACCAAATCTCGCCAGATCAGTGCTTGGATGACTCTTGTGGCACACAAGTTCACACGCTGGGCAATGCAAGGAAGCAAAACGGTCATGTGTGTGCATGTTCACGACCCTTCACACAGTGTTCGAGGAGGCCTCCCGCAAGTACCGCAAGGGTATAATTTTGTAGGCAACGGACAACAATTTCTGTTCATAATCAGGATGGTGCAAGCACAAACACTTGTGCACAGCTGCCGAAGCATAAAAGCATATGGGCACAATTTTGTGCAAGAATAGAATGGGTGGGCGCTGGGCACACATCCCCCCCCCCCAACTTGAACCTCTGACAGCCACCCTATTACCATAGTGTATTGTACCCTTCTGCATAGTAATGCAACGTTTGATTTTTCTATGCAGAGCAATAATATGAAGGTAGCGGTCCCAAGAACATGTGGGGCGACGCCAGCCACAACACGAGGATCTCTGGGCAGCTCGTGGTGCCCATCAGACCCAGATGCATGAGTCGCTGTGGCAGAGAGCCGGCATTCGAGGCCATGTGAACTGAGAGGAATCCTCACTTTGGCCGTGACCATGATGCGCAGCACCCAAAACAACGGTCTGTTGAAAAAATGCGGAGCAAAAATCGTAACAAAGAAATTTCAAATGTGGAAGGGCTTAACGTACTGCCGTATTTTCAGTCCTCCCATCATTGGACATTGGGTAATCCCGACTGCGAATACCCGTCAGGAACCCCTACGTTCGTTAAGAGCATCCTTATCGGTGGGTCCTATTGTCCTGGCGGTGCTATTCGGCTATTCGAATAGCACTGCACGTCATAAAAACATCATTAACGGTTGGGGAGCAATAGCACCCCAATAGCACCGCCGATGCTATCTGGCGCCGAGCAGTGCTATTCTGGGCCCGAATAGCACCGCTCGAGGCCAAATAGCACCCAAGAATAACACGCGGTGCTATTCACACAGAACATTGTAGTGCTGCCGCTATGCTATTCAGCGTAGGAATAGCACCCACCATTGAGGATGCGCGCAGGGGGGCAATAGCACCGGTGCTATTCGGCAAGTGCCGCCTTAGTAAGGTGGCACGGCAGCCAATGAGAACCGTTCCTGGACAGCTCCGCCGGTGCAATAGCCGACCGATAAAGATGCTCTAACCCGAACCCCCTTGCGGCAAAAGCATACGCGCGCTGTGTGCGTCCCCCCCTAACTCCCCCATTTTTCCGTGCCGTTGACAGGCATCCAAGTACGGTCCCCGGGTGCGAATTTATCGGTGAAATCCACGCGGCGGGCCGCGCATCCCGTTGTCCGATCCCTCCGGATGTGCCACGGCACAGCAGCGGCGCCCCCGCACGCGGCCTGGACCTGCCGCCCACGCGGGCCTGGGCGCGAGGGGTCGTTTGCCACCGACAGGGCGACCGATCAGAAGCCACAAGCGGCTGCGCAAGTCTCCGAAAAAGGATCGAAGGGGCCGTCCTGGCTGGGGACCTTCGGGCAGCCGCCAAGCCGCCTCCTACTGCCGACGCGCATGGGGCTTCCCCCCCGCTCTGGACAAACGAGACCGCCTCAACAGGCCCAGCTTCTCCTGCATTTTCTGACCGACCCGACGACGTCTCCTTGGAAGCTAACCACGGGGGCCCCCTTTCTCAACCGTCGCCAACGTGGACTCCGTCGTCCTCAAACTCCACGCCCCTTGATGCCCATTCAAAATTCGACCAGCGAGCGCAATCGATCCGTCCCGTGGCGCCTTTGCAAGCATACGACCGGGGCGCCGTCGGGCGCTGCCTCCGCGCGGTGGGTAAGTGGAGCGACGCAGCTGCGGGCGGCAGCAGGGGCGAGGGGAAAAAACGCGCGCCTCGCGGGGCAGCTGCGCGCCACGCGTTGCGCTTGCTCGCCGCGAGGGCAAGCAGCGACCCTCTGCAGCTGCGGCTGTCTGCGCGGAAAAAGCACCTCCGGGCAGGAGTGTTCAATCGCGGTAGCTGGGCGCTTGCTGGTGCTAAAGTTGGGCACGTCGGCCCTACCTGCGGCGACGGCGAGGAGAAGGAGGCAGGCGAGGTAGCACGGCGCCTTGTCCATCTTGGGGGCTCCGTGGGTGGACGCCTGCAGGGGCTGCCGGCCACCACCTGTTGGACTGCGTGGGTGGAATGTGCGCAGCCTGTGGGCTTTTGTACTACACGGCAGCAACTGTGGGGCGCATTTCCGATCAATCAATGGTGAAACGGGGTGATGGTCGCCTGTTGGCAGAATTACCTGCCCAACATAGCGAAAGGACAGAAGGAGGAAGGAGCGCCCCCTGACTGAGTGTTTCGTGTTTTCGCGCATGAAAAGTCAAATGCGGTGCACAACGCTGTTACGGCTAGAACTGATTGAGTGTTATTAATAACTGAGTGCATGAAAAGATGACGAAACACTAGGAATTGCATTAAGGATGTTGATGAACGGACTGAGTATAAAGGACAGAACGTCTGTTGTCCTTTTGCCTCGGCTGTAAACCGTTGCCGTGGACTCGAGCGTACAATTCCCGTTCAGGGATCGCCACCCCTCGACCCTGCCTGCCTTCGTCAACGCAACATCTGCGGCCCCCGGCAAGCGCCCACGCCGTCGGGACCAAGAAGAGCAAGGCACTCTGCCACCCCTTTCGTGATGTAGGTGATAGTCATTTTAGATTGCTTCATATTGTATCATGCAGGTCGCGTGAGAGGGCATTGGGCATTGTGGGACGGGACATTGATGAGACTGTTTCATTTAGCACATGCCGGTGCGTCTGCGCGAGTGTGCGTGGAGGAACTATTTAGTTTTCTCTAATGTGCGGTCCACGGTTGCACCACAAGGGGCGCTACACAATATGACGATTTGCTGTGCACAGACACGTTGTTGCAGCCAGTGGCTGGGGCTGGCCTCCCTGTTCCGATTGCAGCTGAGGCACGCACCAGCTATGGGGGGCGGCAGTCCGCCAGACGGCGTTCACGCGCTCCTTCACCGGTCGGTTGTCCGCAAGGTGCTGTCGGGTGGCCAGGCGCGGCAAGACGGGTACGCAATCGTTGGTGCTCCGAAGGATAGCGGGACAGGCGGCTAGATGGGAAGCGTAGGAGTGGCGCCACACACACCGCGGCATGATTTTCAAACAATGCCCATGGGGCAAAACATGGGGTTTCTGAAACAGATGGCTGCGTCGGTCAACTTTGGCGGCAAGATAAGGGGCCAGCAGCGGGTGCTGTCATATTGAGGTATCAAGGCGTGAAGCACATGTACGTTACAAATTATCTACCACAGGTCCCCTGCCGACAAAACCCCAGGCGTTGGTCCCGCGCCTCACCATATCTCATCCATATCTCCCTCCTGCTTTGCAGCTGCAGGAAGATGTGCTGGAACCCCAAATGTCATGCAAGTTGGGCTGGATCCCGTCATGCCCATCGATCCCATCAGACACCCAGCTCTGTGTGTCCATGATCCCCAAACCATGCACGCTCACAAGGTGCAATTGCATTCCACAGAGCTTGCAAGTTGAGTTCTCTGCCTGTCCCAACATTTCATGAATAGAGGAAAACTTGTGGCATTTTTCTCAATGCTATAAATGGCACAGCTGAAATCACATGTCGCGCAGGCCCCAACATTCACGCATACCATCATTTCCGGCGTCAGTGGGCGACCTGGCTTTGGTGCTGCCCAACAACTGTACACCTCCAAGCAGCAACAGATCGCCCAATAACTCGCACAAAATCAAATCAAAGGGTCGAATGCTCCAACCACCCCCATTGCATGCAGCCTCTCCAAGCTCCACATGCATCTCTGCCATGCCCTGTCAACCTTTCTCTCAACCTTTCCATTCTTCTCCTTCCATCCCTTTTTGTGTTTGCTTTTGTCGTTTTGTTTGTCATTGTCCCATTCAAGAGATTACCTACAGCTGCCGAGAGGTTCCAATGCATTATCTCTAGCTGCATGTCCCCCTGCTCCCAAACACATAGATACTGGCCCCGTCTAGCTGGGCACAAAGATCGCACTGCATTGTCGTAGCAACTTTCGTTGTGGAAGCATTCTCGCGTTCAAGACTGTGCAGTCGCAAGTCACACATCGCTGTCACATTCCGCAGCGATTCCAAATTCCACCTCCTGCATAATTAAATCCAGCCATGATGTGCAAAGTTGCTGCGCTGCATCAAACAGCAAGCTGTTGTCCAGGCATGCATTTTCTTTGCGCTCTTGCGCAAAGAGCTCACTCGAGATTAGTGTGGCGGTTGCGCATTTCGGACGAGCCTACTTTGCACTTCTTGCGCAGCATGACTGACATGCACTCGAGCACCAACCAGAGACTCAGCTCATAAGAAGCCCCCATGTGCAGTATGCTTCCCTGGCCCCCAGGAAGAAATGAGACAGTGTCAGATCCCTCCGGCGATCTCTTGCCAACACCGCTGGGTATTGAGGGGGCCAGAGTCTGGGATGGAATTCGGATCACATGCTCGGCAAATGGAAGCTCGGCTGTCTTGTGGGAAGTGAATGCTATTACTTTCCCACCAAGGCGCATGGCCTCCAGGGCAAGTGCACTGACCTGCAGCAAAGGGGTATTCACAGGAATTGTCAGTCTCATGAGTCAGAAGGGACTCACTGGTGGAACAACAGGAACATGTCAGGGGAGTGCAGAATATTCCCAATCAGTTTTGTTGCAGCAGCAACATCCGGCACCACTGATAATCTCCAACACTTGACACCTTCAGCGCTGCTGAAACAACAGAATTCATGTGCTACAAAAAGTGGCACAGAGCAGCAACATAATTGGTGAATTCTTCAAATACCCACAATCGCTGCTGAACAACAAAGACATTGGTTTGAGACAGCAGCACAGAGCCTCTGAAATTTCCCCAAGTTCAAGACAATGCAGCAGATGCTGTGATGGTTGACAATCGCTCCTACACTGGAAACGCTTTTCAGGTACCCACCGAGCTGTAGTAGCTGGGACCAGCACTGACCAAAAATAGGTCAGATTTCCCCACAGATGGCATGTTAATGTCACCTACAAAGTAGGATACAAATCCCATGTGGTGCAGATTGGATGCCAAGGCCTTCATCACTAAACCCTCGCGGCCAACACCATAGCAGCAGATGTTCCGGGCGTCTTTCACTGCCGCTGCAAGAAAGTTGATGTCTGGCGTGCTGACCGTAGAAGCGATGGAAGTCAGTTCTTCAAGAACAGTTGTGAATATTGAACTCAAGTCTTGCCAGTCCTGGAGCAAAGGGAAGCGTATTGAGGGATCACCACATCATCTTTTGCTGTGGCAGATGTAACGTGGTAAGTGCTCTGCTTCAGTGAACATTAACATACAGTGCTGCACTGGGAGGCATTGCGAACGCGTTGCGCTGCTGTGCTTGAAATGATCTTGCAAGCATCCTACATACAGTTCGGTGCTTTCCTTCACTTTTGTTCAACGAGCCTTCGCTTTGGGGATTGTTGCTGGAATCCTCTCTTGGCCTGAACTCCTTGGCTCGATTGACTGCAAGGCGATCAGTGTTCTCACCCTTTATTGGCAACATGAACTACAAGTTGACAAAGCTGTTGGCAGACATGCAACCGTCAGTTCAGCTTTAGATACCATGGATCATGTTACGCCACAAGTTTACAAGGTAAACCCAGCCTCTGATACCTCATCTCGCTCGCGCTTGACTACACCCGATGATCGCACTTGGCCATCTCCGTCCCCATGATTGGAGGACCCCTGTGACTCCTGTACCTGTACACACGGATTGTCAAAATGGATTTATCTGGCAAGCACCACTGTGAAATGACTCAAGATCACAAATTTGAGCACATGTAACTGTGATGTTTGAGTCCATCAGTCCAGCCACTTCCAACTATCAGCGATCCCAAGATAGATAGCAGCAGTCTGAGCCCTGGAGTGACGCAGAATTTATATGTTGACCACTGTTTTGGGATGATGGGCCACTGCCTTGTGTCTCGTACACCGGTCAGTGGTGTGCACAGAGCAGTTTCAGCAGAGGTCGACACAGCACATCCTTGGATTCTCAAATCACAGATGACAGCAAGACTTGTGCACTCTTCCACAGCAGGTGATCCATGCCACTTGTGCCTTCAGTTTTGGAACCAACCTTTGGAGGCTGATTCTTGCATCTTGACAGTCGATTTTTGAGCCACACAGACACCTGTGCAGCTGTCGCCTGCCCAACAGCTTGTACAGCAGCAACCAACTCCGTTGTGGGCTTGGTGTACCCTGTGCAAAGCTCTTCTCAGCATTCATTTCCATGGTTTATCAATTTGTAAGCTTAAAGACAGGAACACAAATGAGATAGAGCTGTTGCATTCCTTCAATAGCTTCTTGCCTGGAAGGTTCCTGTCACTGTCCGTGTCGTACTGCATACTGTGAACACTGAGAAGAACATTTGTCTTTTGACAGACACCTTGCCAGAGCCAAATAATGTCATGCTGCTTTCCATATTCCTGTGATGGTGGAAAAGGTCTATAAGTATAACACAGCTTGCATTGGCCGGCCCTCATGGCCCATTGGAAGTCATTGAAACTCTTTGGAAAATAGTGTTCTGCTATCATACCAGACTTGAAGTGCTGCTCCAGGAGGCACAACTGTGCTGGAGTTGGCTTCCACCTTGCCCTTGGATGGCCTGCATCCCCACGCCGCGTCGCCCTTGGCTTGGGCGGTGCCAGGGCTGCTCTCTGGCCCTCCGCAACTGTGTGCGAGCCACGGCTTGAGAGCCTGGGCTCAACGAAAGGCCCTGACTGGCATGAGAACAACATTGGCTGAGGTGGGGTGGCCATGGGAGCCCATTTAGGCTGGCCATCAGCACCCTGTTGTAGATACACAGTCACCATGCCATCGCCAGAATCCACAGATGTGGAGTAGTAGGCCCTGGTGGTGTTGTTGGAACCCTCTGACTTTGTGTACTGAAGGCCAGGGTTGAGGCCCTGCGGAGAGGCAGATGAGCATTGGGTCAACATCCAGCGCCAAGTGAACCTTGCCAAGCATTGGAAATTCGAATTGACAGATGCGAGCCTGCTGAACAAGTGAAGTTTGTCGTCATAGCATCTGGGATTGGTCAAACATTGGGTACCCCACTTGTGATCAACCACTTGTGAGACATTTTCCCACACTAAAGAAGAGGGGGAAGCACACGACATGGAGCAGCGTGTACACCACACACATACGTGTGCTGAATGCACACCTTGAAGTGCCCTCTTTCTGCCAACATTAGGCACATTTACTTCGTTGGGCAAAGAACCTTTCAAACCACCCTGGGCTGCCATGTGGCTGACAGATGCCAGTAGGATGCAGTAGGATTTGGGCACAATTCTGAAGTGCCATGCAAGCGCATGAGAACAACTGGTTCCGAACGATCTGGCAATGATGTGTGTCGTATGGATTGTGTCAAGACAAGATCAGGGACAGACAGATGTCCTCCACTCCGACAGCATTCAACATTCCTCAATTGTGAGCACATTTGTGAAGGCCGATGATGGCATCCAGCCATTGGAAAGGCAACTCTTCAAAAAGGAAGAGATAACATACTGCCTCTCTTGAAACATGGCTTAACATTAGCATACCTGAACTCGTGTCATGGGGCAAGAAGCATCCTTTGCGCCATGCAATGCCCCCATAACCTCCATTGCTTCCATAGCTGCTGTGCATTGCGCAGTATCGGGGAGCTTTCTGTTCAACATCCCAAGAGCCTCCATGGCCTCGGCTTCAGTAAACTGTTTACCTGCTGGCGACTTCAGGCAAATGGGTGTGAAGTCCATACTGTCCTGCCTTTGCATAGCTTCAGAAATTCCAACCATTCTGCCTGCATCTTCAGAAGGGGCCAGTTGTGACTGTTCCATCTGAAGGAAATGTGTGCTGAAATATTGGTCGGTGTCACATCCAGATGCCTGTGACGCCATGATCTGCAGACAATAACCCCTGGGTTAGGCGCCTGAAGGTGCTGTAATTGTGGCTGGCCAACAGCCGTTGTGTGCAACACTCATGTTAATCAGAGTACACGCAGTAGCAAAAGCAAAAAGTGTTCACATCCATTCCACGGTGGACAATCTCTAACTTCGACCACGGCCCTGCGGTTCATCACAAGACAGTGCCCAGCATCACCCACCAGAATCAACGAAAGTTATTGTGAAGTAGAAAACAATGTGCAGCACTGATGTGACTGATCGGCAGTTTGAAAGCCTACGCACCCCACAGGTGCAGTCACTCACCTGCTGTGCTGCGCTGGCGTCCACAGCAGAGAAAGGCGATGGGTCCGTGGCCATGCACTGCAGACCATGGTCACCATGGACACCCAACAAAGAGTCTTCGTTCCAAAGCAAGTTGGAGATCTGTGCTGAGTGTGTATCGAAACCCTGTCCCTTGGGCACCCTCAAATCAGGTAGAGCACCATTAAAGCTGGCAGCATTTGGTCTCGTCATATCCATGATGGGATCGGTGTTGCACTGCCTGTTTCTATGCACACACAGCAGTCCTCCTTGAGTCTTTGGATACAAGACAGTCTGGTCTTGGATCCTGTGGTGATTGGTCAAGTTTGTGTGCCGCACTATTGAGGCAACGCTGGCAAATGAATCGCATTGGGGCTGGCAAGCTTGCTCCCTCCTATTGATTGCACAGCTGTCAAAAGGCAACAGCAGAGTCTGCGGTGGCTCCAGAACATCGTTTTGAGTGATATTGTCCTGATTGTGTTCTTGGTCACTATCCACTGCAATTGTGGCTGTGCTCTTTCTGATGGCCAGTTGCCATGTGTTAGAAATGAACGCAGCAAGCCAACGACATTGCTGCCACAAAAGCATCAGCGACGAGAGTCAGACATATGAATTCACAGGACACTCAAGACACGAAGTTACAAGTCAAACTTTGTCTATCTTAGTCACAGGCGGCAGTCTTGTGGCCAAAGCTTATGCATTGCCTCCTAATCTTTGCCGCTTTGTGAGAAGTCTCTGGTTCAGTATTTTTCCCTTGACAGAGTGATAGTGAACAGCAAGCACACTGGCAGTATTTGGATATCCAGCTCCAGCACGCGGCAGTGGTTGCTCGACGTGTGAATTGATCTGACGCCATTTGGCACCGCATGCTTGCTTGGCAGCCAGCAACAAGTGATCAACAGGAGCACTCAAGCCCAGCGGACTTTCAAAAGGAATAAAGCATTCAGCTTTTGCATTGATGCACCATCCCTAGGCGGTGAACAAACATAGCTGGTTTGCACCAATGCGTCAACAAATCTGTATGGTGTGGCACCCGACCCAACAAAAGAGTGGAACTGGTGCAGTGAGGGGTTCTGCACCAGGTGTCACTGGACTACTCTGTTTCTTGGCAGCAACTCCTAGCACATGTGATTGTGCAGTGTGGCTGGGCACAAGCTGTTTACTAAGGCACTTGTTGTGCTGACCAAATTTCTGCCCAGGTGTTGCAGTCAGAGGAAGTTTGGTTCCTTTTGGAAGACGATTGTATTGACAACGGAAATGTATGCCAAATGACAGCAGCGACAACGATCCTCAGGAGATCTTGTTCGTGATATGGAATGCAATGCATATTGTCTATCACCTGTTGGCCAAACTCACAAACACTGACTATACATACCCAGCGCAACACGAAACAGAAAATGGGTGTTGAGCTGTTCGATGATCAATGACGCGAAAGAATTTCCTTGTTGGCAACCAGCCGCAAATCGTGGGGTGTGGCGACATGCCCGTCAGTCCATTTCTCTTAGCTGATGACAACATATGACAGTGCACAAAACAAAATGTAACATCCAACACTTGGTATGTTCGCCCTTGCCAGTCAAACTGCGCAGCACTGCACAGGTGGGTTTCCAAGGCCCAGCCAGATCATTGGTGCAGCTGCAGATATATGCACTTGTTTGTGTCAACCTCGATCCAACCCGTCCTCTTGCTCTTGCCATGAACAGGATTGTCATAAGTTTGTGCCATCTGAGAATCGTGTTTGGGCAACCGCACGTGGCTGAACACTGTGTTTCGCCCAAACTGTCTGCTGCTTTCCTTCAACCACTCCAGCTTGAGGGACCCAGTCCAGGATGGAACCGTTTATTGCTTTCTGCCACGTCTGCGATCCCACTATCCTGTGCCCATGCTGTGTCTTGTGGGAATTCTTGCGTGTCCAACGTGGCAGCCACAATTGCTCGTTTTCCCCGTTTGTGGCTGCAAGTGAAGTCACCCAGCACAAAGAAACAGTCCGTTCTGACTAGCGCGTTCGGTTGTGTCCAACTTGCCGATTTGTCCAACGTCCCAGTGAACACAGGCCAATGCTCTATTCTTTTGGCCCCTGTCGTATGTAGAATCCCAGACTGAGGGAGCTTTTGTCCAAGGCGCACGCCCATTGGTCATTTGGCTTTTAGAAACCACCCAAACGGACAGCATCCCTCGCCACGCAGACCCCGAATTATGGAGTCCTTTGTGTGGCTTGTTTTGCTGCCTGTGCACCCTGCTCGCACTGCTTGCCAGATTGTACTGCGCCCGATGGGCCACTCAGTTAGAACAAAACGCTTCACGCAATTTTCGAAAGGAGGCCTGGATTCGGACACTGTCCAGCTAGATCTCACGCAAAAAATACTGCTTCGTGTGTCCGCGGCGACGGACATGCGGCGGACTGGTTGGAGCCTGTGCCGCTTCGCTTCCAATAAATTTCTGCGGCTGCATCTGTCAACCCCCCCCCCGGCCAAGTCCGTGTATGGTGACTATGCAGCGCCACTGGCGACCCTGCAGGCGGGCCGTTCGTCGACAGACACGAGCCCGAGCCCCAAGCAGCACCCTTTGCGCCCGGACTGCGGAGAAAGGAGGCCCCGCACCGCCCAAGAGCACCGCGGCCGCCCTTCGGGCTTCCTCGCCTCCCTGTGCGTGAGCGGCGGCAACATCCAACGGCCAGCGCCGCGGTGGGCAGCACTGGCGCCGGCGCTTGCGGCTTCCGCATCCCAACGGCGCAAGGCTGACACGTAGAAACGGACAGAGCGGCCGCCCCGGGGCCCTGTTCCCTTAGGTCAGGGCCCCACATGCGGCTCGGGCAAATCTTTTCTGAGTTCCTCAAACTCGATCGGTGCCCTTCGCCGCGTCGATGTACCGCGTCCAGGACCAGATGCGCGCCCGTTCCCGCAACTGTCGGCCACCGATCCACGAACAACCGCTTCGTCTCGCCCTCCCCATCCGACTCACATCCTCCGCTCTCCGAAGCGACGGCGGCAAGATCAACGACCGCGACGCCAGGGCGAAGCGGATCCCCGAGTCGCGGAGCGCCACGCGCCGCGATGTTCGCAGATCCGCGCCTGATCGCTCCCTCCGCGCCTTTGTCTGAGATGCCCGACCGCTGAGTCAGTGCCGTGCAAAATCAGCGGTTCATCGCGAGCGAGGCCGACGGCGTACGCCCGGCTCCCGCCGCACACAAACGGATAGCCTACCGCGGCCCCGACCCTTAGGCCAC